CATAGGAATTAATTCAGGGTTTTTTTTTCCCCAAACGTATCCCCCTCTATGAACCATCACAGAGGTTAATATCATCTGGGGAGGCATTGCTCTCAGTCCCGCCTCCATGGCAAATCAGGTTGGTGGGGACGAGAGACAGGGCCTTCTCAGTGGTGGCTCCTCAGCTCTGGAACTCCCTCCCCAACAAGATTTGATCAGTGCCCTCCCTCCTGACCTTTAGAAAGAGAACAAAGACGTGGTTGTGGTATAAAGCCTATGGCTAATAAATAATGCAGTACAAAGAATAATTAAGGAACATGTGCAATGACAATTCGGAATGGCTATGGCATATGATTTCTGGATCATGGGACTTCAATGTTTATACTAGGAGGGTTTTAGGATTTGCCTAAATGTTTACATTTTATGTATGCCTTATGGTTAATTGTTTTAATTGATTTCCAAGTTTATAGTTATATGTAGTAATTAATTATTATGATTTTTTGGTGTACTGAAGTGGTTTTCAACCTTTGGGTCCCTAGATGTTTTGGCCTTCAACTCCCAGAAATCCTAACAGCTGATAAACTGGCTGAGTTTTCTGGGAGTTGTAGGCCAAAACACCTAGGGACCCACAAGTTGGGAACCACTGGTGTACTGTATGTTGTCCCTGAATTTTTGCCATTACTATGTTGTAAACTACTTTGAGTCCCCCCAGGGATGAGAAAGGCAGTATATAAATAATATAAATTATTATATAAATTGAAAATATAAATTTTCAATAAATTTTCTCCCAACAGTCTGAGGACTATGAACTAGCCCTCTACTTTAAAAGTTTGAGGACCCCTAATATAAAGCTACAGTTTCCTAGCAATGTCAGTGCAAAATCATTATGTCATGACGGTTCTCTAAAGTACAGATATCAGTATTTGTTCCCCTTGACATTCTGAACTTCAGCTCTCAGAATCCCCAAGCATTGTGCCTAATGGCTGGGAGTTCCGGGAGCTGGATAGGAGAGCCAAAGCTGTGAACTTTTACTTTTCACACATGGTACAACAATATTTATTGTACCGCAACAAGCCATATGAAAAAAAACCCCTTGTGCAGCCTTTTTTTATTATTGTGGTAAAAACTACGCTGCAGTACTACTATGTTTTGAGCCACACCCATCACCAAGGTACAAAACCTCAACATGAAAGCTGCAAGAGCACCTTTCAGATCATCCTCCCAAATAATGCCTTCTTTTTATAACCAGTTTGGAGGCAGGGAGGACTTGCCCAGGCACCTGATGTCATTGCACGCCTTGCCTTTGAAACCTTGGCACCATTGCAAAGAGTAGATTCGAAAATCCATTAAGATTAAAAAGATATTTTTTGAATGCACAGCATTAAATTTGTAAATGTGAAAGAAGTACACATTTACCGAGCACAGTTTAAAACCAGAAGTAAGCCCAAGGAACACTTTGCAGTTGTGTGTGTGTGTATTATATATGAAGCCAATTCACATATCTTTTATGTGTTTACATTGGCAATAGCCAAGAACCCAACTGAGGACAAACACATGGCTACAACAGGTGCAGTTCAGTCCCACTCAACTTCCGTTCCTCCATTTGAAATGGCAAATTCCAAAACAGTGTATCTGTGACCCGGAGGCATGCCTTGCCTGAACCCAGCTGAGCTTCCGGAGGACATTTCTTACTATCAGGCCAAACATTGCCATCTCCCATTGAACAAGGTGTACTCCACTTTAACTGTAATGGCTCAATGCTTTGAAATCCAGGGATCTGTTCTTTGGTGAGGTACTAGCACTCTTGGGCAGAAACCTTGTAGAACTACAACTGAGTACTGAGCCGTGGTAGCTAGACAAGTGACAAGCTGCATTAATTTTGGGTTGTTGTAGGTTTTTCAGACTGTATGGCCATGTTCTAGAAGCATTCCCTCCTGACATTTCGTCTGCATCTGCGGCAGGCATCCTCAGATGTTGTGAAGCCTCTGCCATAGATGAAGATGAAATGTCAGGAGAGAATGCTTCTAGAACATGGCAATACAGCCCAAAAAACCTAAAACAACCCAGTGATTCTGGTCATGAAAGCCTTCAGCAATGCATTAATTTTGCAGGGTAGATACACAAACAGGACCATGACCGATACACCCTCATATGATCTACAGACTATGATGTTCTTGCTCTCTGTTGCTGAAGACACCACAAAAGATTGGCCTCCTAAAAAACCGACCTGTTTATATTCCCTTGTGGTTAACATTTGTCTTTCCCTATCAGAGATGCATGTATAGATACCTTCAAGTCATGTATTGACCTATGGCAACCCCATACATTTCATAGGATTTTCTTTGGCAAGGGATTCTCGGGAGGTACCTTCCTCTGAAATACAGTCTACAGCAGTCTCCCATCCAGGTACTGACCAAGGCTGACCCTGCTTAGGTTCCAAGATCACACTGGGTCTGGCGCCTTTAGGGTATTTATGATGTCCCATAGACAGATATTAATATAAATATTGGCACTAAAGGCAAAGCAATGTCTCCCAACCTGGATTAAATTTTAATTTTTGCTCCCAACTTGGATTAAAATTTAATTCGATTGCATCCCTTTCAAGTTCAAAAACATTCCCTTTGACAGGTTGTCCCTCCCACACCTTCCTTCATCATTTTTCCTCTTCCCACAGGAGCCTCCCCACAATAATTAAAGGCGACCCCTCTGGCCCTTTCCTCCCTATGTCAAGTTTCCTTTGAAAACATCCAAGAAATGGGTTACAAAGGGTGTGTCTACATTGTCGAATGAATGCAGTGTGGCACTACTTTCACTGCCATAGCTCGTTGCTATGGAATCCTGGGAGTTGTATTCTGGATCTACTTCACTGTAAAATCAGTGCAGTTTGACAGCATTTTAAATGCCATGGCTAATTGCCAAAGACTCAGAGGTGTTGCAGTTTCACAGAGTCCTCAGCCTTCCCTGCCAAACAGTGCCTCATCAAACTACATCTCCCATGTATAGTTGAAAGCTTTCATGGCCGGAATTGCTACGTTTCTGTGAGTTTTCCAGGCTGCATGGCCATGTTCCAGAAGCATTCTTTCCCAACGTTTCACCCACATCTATGGCAGGCATCCTCAAAGGTTGTGAGTTCTGTTGGAAACTACGCAAGTGAGGTTTATATATCTGTGGAAAGAACTGCGATGCAAATGCGAATTGGCCACCTTGATTAGCACTGAATGGCCTTGCAGCTTCAAAGCCAGGCTGCTTACTGCCTGGGTGGGGATCCTTTGTTGGAAGGTGTTAGCTGGCCTTGATCATTTTCTGCCTGGAATTCCACAGCAGTTCAAATTGTGTCAGAACTGCAGTGTAGGCCCCTTCCACACACCAAGATGAAATCCCACATTATCTGCTTTGCAGTGGGATATATGGCAGTGTGGGCTCAAATTACCCAGTTCAAAGCAGATATTGTGGGATTTCCTCCCTTGGTATTCTGAGTTATATGGCTGTGTGGAAGGAGCCCACGTGTTTTTGAACTGCGTTTCCCAGAATTCATCGCCACTGGCTCTGACAACTAAGGCTGAATCTATACTGCCATATAATGCTGTTTGAATTATATGGGTTATTACAGGATGGATCTGAACCCTCTTCTACACTGCCATATAATCTTAGTTATATGGCTGTGTGGAAGGGCCCGTAGACACACCTGTACTTTTGCAAGGTCTTTAGCCTTTTGCGGGGAGGGGGGAAATAGTGCTGTTGCCTCACCAAACTACAAATGGAGCCATGGCAGTGAAAGAGGTGCAGAACTGCATAGATTCCACCATGCAGACGCACCCAAAGCTAGACTTGATTCCTTCTGAAATCATGGGAGTGCAACAGTGGAAGCTCACAAGACTTCAACACTGCAATATTGAAGTCTTGTACACAAAGGGGCAGTGGGTGCCAGAAAAATTATATATGTGGGATGAACATAATTCAAAAACCACTGGATGATTTGATACCAAATTTGGACACAATATATCTAGCAGCCAACAAGTGACCATCACTCATAAAAACACTGAAAAACACAGCAGAAGAGACCTAGAAAGCAAAAAAAACAAACCCCAAAATACATTACAACGCATGCGCAAAATCACATATAAACACAAAACACACACACACACACACCTATTACACACACACACAAATATACACATACTGGACCACAGCAACGCGTGGCAGGGGAAGGCTAGTACATATATACATATTGGGGAGGGTCGAAAAGGAAGGAGGGAGAAAGGGGCAGCCAAGGCCATTCTTCTAGCCAAAGCTGGGGAGGGGGGAAAGTAAGGCAGAGAAATAAAGGCAAGGCAGACTCCATCCACAGCAGTCCAGCCACACACAACAAGCACACACACACAGGCAAGGCAATGCGCCTGCTTCTTTCCCACCAACACAACCATTGGTGCCCCCCCCCCTTATTGACAAGACTAAAGGAGTCCAAGGAGAGGAGGAAGACCCTCGATTTAAGGGGAGGGGGACCCCCCCATTTCAAGGGGAGATCCTCATATCGAATGGAAAGAACCCCCTTTGAAGGGAAGAGACAAACCTTTGAAGGGGAGGGAGTGGGAGCCCCATTTGAAGGATCCAAGAGAGACCTCCCATTTCAAGGAGAGGAAAAGGACCCCCCCCCCATTTTAACCCTCCCTACTTGCATCTCTTTCCCTGTCTGCATTGATCTGCAGATCAGAAATCTGTCTTGAAAACACCCCGCCATCTCCTCCCCCCTTTACCCAAATCCGAGTCCCTGCAGCAAGCCCCGCGCCCAGTGTATTGCATTTGATATTGCAAACTCTCCCGGTTCCCACGATCCGAAGAGGAGGGGATGGGACCCCCAACCCGATGACCCAACCCCCAAACCCCTCACCTTTCTCTCAATGCCGAACCAAAACCCGGGAGAAGCAAAATCAGGAGGAAGAAGGCAACCTTGTTGCCTCTTCTTTCCTCCCGAGTCAATCCTCTGCCGCAAAGTGGAGCCACTGCCTGCAAAGGCTTCCTACCTGCTGCTGCTGCTATTGCTGCTCGGCAACTTCTTTATTTTCCCTTTCCTTTTTCTCTCGCTGCCACGAACCCGCGTGGAAAGGGAAAGAGGCGATCGGTGGGAGGAGGAGTTGGCGGTGCCAGGCTGGAGCAAGTTTGGGTTGCCCCCGCAGTTATGGCGGCTGCCAGAAAGAGAGAGAGAGAGCAGGAGAAAGAGGAGGAGGAGGCAACGCGATCCGCGTTCACACAAACACACACACACACACACCACGCCAATCCACCAGCTCCAGCTAAAGGGAGGGGAGCCCCAGGCGGGCGCTTTCCAAAGGGGAAGGCTTTAGGAAAGCGAGAGTTCAGTCAAAGGGAGGAGGAGGAGGAGGGAGGTGGGCTGCTGGTGGGATTAGCAGCAGCAGCAGCAAAGGCTGGTTGGTGGGGTCTCGTGGTTTCTCTCCAGCGGGAAGGCGCCCCCTCCCCACCTATACCCACCCTCCTCCCCTCCAGAACTATTTTACTAAAAGGCTCCCGGTTGGTGGAGGAAATATTCCACGAAACCGAAACACGGCCCCTGCAGGTTGCGAAGCCTCTGCACCACGTGGAGGGAGGCTGGGGTGGCTGCGCTCGCCTATCTTCCAGGAGGCAGTGGGGGCTTTTTTACACACTGGAGTTTCGCACCACTTTAGCTGCCCTGGCTCAGTGCTAGGGATATTTTGGCACCACCACTCTTTGGCACAGAAGAAGGCGAAAGGCCTTGTCCAATTACAATCCCCATGATCCTACAGCATGGCAGTTAAAGGGATGTCCAACTGCATGACATCAGCACCATAGCTATGCTTCTTACCTCTTAGTAATTGTTTTCTTCTTGAAGGCCATCTACACCAGTGGTTCCCAACCTTTTTTTTTTTTTAACCGGGGACCACCTTGACTAGGGACCACTTTGACCAGTAACCACTTGTTCAGGGACCACCTTGACTAGGGACCACTTTGACCAGTAAACACTTGTTCAGGGACCACCTTGACTAGGGACCACTATGACCAGTAAACACTTGTTCAGGGACCACCTTGACTAGGGACCACTTTGACCAGTAAACACTTGTTCAGGGACCACCTTGACTAGGGACCACTTTGACCAGTAAACACTTGTTCAGGGACCACCTTGACTAGGGACCACTTTGACTAGGGACCACTTGACCAGGGACTACTTCGATCAGGGACTACTTGACCAGGGACTACGATCAGAGACTACTTCAATCAGGGACTACTTGAACAGGGACCACTTTGATCACAGACTACTTGACCAGGGACCACTTTGATCAGGGACCACTTTGATCAGGGACCACTTTAACTAGGTACCACTGTGACCAGGGACCACTTTGATCAGGGACTACTTGAACAGGAACCAGTCTGGTGATGATAGAAACCACAGAGCCCTAAATGAATGCATAATAAGAACTCTCTCTTTTACACACTTTTGTGGGAATTTTTGTTGGAATTCAACCCCACACTGCCCAAGTCTCAAGTTCTCAATGAGGAGCAGTTAGTTTAGTATGGACTAAGGGTGTCCCTTCCCCCATGTCTCCTGTATGACAGTTGGGAATGTAACTATTTCTTCTATCCTCTGTTTCTGTTCTCATTCTGATTTGTTGTGTGAAATTGATACTTTTCTATTGCAAGTCTTTTTAAATCTGACTTCTGTTTCTTGCATCTTTGAATGTGCTGTGTGCTTTGAGATCTCTCTGTGTGTTTTTCCCACTCTTTGAATCCTTAGAAGAGATGGGTGTTAGAGTAGCTCAGACCCAGTTCTTTACCATGAAGATATGTAGTTAGTTCCTTAGTATTGTAAAGAAGCCTTTTGTGATTTTTAAGATTGGACTCTGTATCTTTGCCTGCCTAAGCTCTAAATTCTTTACAGCCACATCACACTTTGCTCAGTAATGAGCTGAAGCTCAACTTTTGTGCCCTGTTTGCTTTTGGATGCTCTGCTATATTTTAGGTTAGTTTTCCCTAACCGCTTGCTGTCTCGTTGCTGCAGCTTGAAGCTTATTCGAACTGCATTAAATGGTCAATGTAGATGGAATCTAGGTTTTTCAGTTCCTACCTCTTGGGAATGTTATTCATTGGTATTAAATTACAAACAGGAAAAAAATCCTAGCACAAACATATAAAGCTACTGAGATTTACTTATTGTCAACTCACCAGTCAAACATTAAGGGTGCATCCATACTGTACAATTAATGCAGTTTGACACTACTTTAACTGCCATGGCTCAATTCTATGGTATCCTGGGAGTTGTGGTTTTACAAGGACTTTAGCCTTTCCTGGCCAAGAGTGCTTCTGCCTCACCAAATTACAAATCCCAGGATTCCATAGCATTGAGCTATCACAGTTAAAGAAGTGTTAAGCTGCACTGGTTTTGCAGTGTAGATACACCCTATGTCAATGGGACTATTCTATTTGAGACTAACAACTAGAACTCTGTGTCTATAAAACACTCTTAAAGACATTGGTTCTCTTTTTTAAATAATATTACGACACTATAGTAGGCCTTGGGATCTGCTGGAATTTAGCTCCAGGACCCCTTTGTTGTTGTTCACTCGTTCAGTCGTCTCCGACTCTTCGTGACCTCATGGACCAGCCCACGCCAGAGCTCCCTGTCGGCCGTTACCACCCCCAGCTCCCTCAAGGTCAGTCCAGTCACTTCAAGGATGCCATCCATCCATCTTGCCCTTGGTCGGCCCCTCTTCCTTTTGCCTTCCACTTTCCCCAGCATAATTGTCTTCTCTATGCTTTCCTGTCTCCTCATGATGTGGCCAAAGTACTTCAACTTTGTCTCTAGTATCTTTCCCTCCAGTGAGCAGTCGGGCTTTATTTCCTGGAGGATGGACTGGTTGGATCTTCTCGCAGTCCAAGGCACTCTCAGAACTTTCCTCCAACACCACAGATCAAAAGCATCGATCTTCCTTCGCTCAGCCTTCCCTAAGGTCCAGCTCTCACATCCGTAGGTTACTACAGGGAATACCATGGCTTTGACTAGGCGGATCTTTGTTGCCATTCTGATGTCTCTACTCTTTACTATTTTATCGAGATTGGACATTGCTCTCCTCCCAAGAAGTAAGCGTCTTCTGATTTCCTGGCTTCAGTCTGCATCTGCAGTAATCTTTGCACCTAGAAATACAAAGTCTGTCACGGCCTCCACGGTTTCTCCCTCTATTTTCCAGTTGTCAATCATTCTTGTTGCCATAATCTTGGTTTTTTTTGACGTTTAGCTGCAACCCAGCTTTTGCGCTTTCTTCTTTCACCTTGATTAGAAGGCTCCTCAGCTCCTCCTCGCTTTCGGCCATCAGAGTGGTGTCATCTGCATATCTGAGGTTGTTAATGTTTCTTCCAGCAATTTTCACCCCAGCTTTGCATTCATCCAGCCCCGCACATCGCATGATGTGTTCTGCATACAAGTTAAAAAGGTTGGGTGAGAGGATGCAGCCTTGCCGTACGCCTTTCCCAATCTTGAACCACTCTGTTGTTCCATGGTCAGTTCTTACTGTTGCTACTTGGTCCTTGTACAGATTCCTCAGGAGAGAGACAAGGTGGCTTGGGATGCCCATACCACTAAGAACTTGCCACAATTTATTATGATCCACACAGTCAAAGGCTTTAGAATAGTCAATGAAGCAGAAGTAGATGTTTTTCTGAAACTCCCTGCCTTTCTCCATTATCCAGCGGATATTGGCAATTTGGTCTCTCGTTCCTCTACCTTTTCTAAACCCAGCTTGAACATCTGGCAACTCTCGCTCCATGTATTGCTGGAGTCTTCCTTGCAGGATCTTGAGCATTACCTTACTGGCATGAGAAATAAGGGCCACTGTACGGAAGTTTGAGCAGTCTTTCGCATTTCCCTTTTTTGGTATGGGGATATAAGTGGATTTTTTCCAGTCTGATGGCCATTCTTGTGTTTTCCATATTTGCTGGCAAATGGCATGCATCACCTTGACAGCATCATCTTTTAAGATTTTAAACAGTTCAGCTGGGATCCCGTCATCTCCTGCTGCCTTGTTGTTAGCAATGCTTCTTAAGGCCCCTTCAACCTCACTCCTCAGGATGTCTGGTTCTAATTCATTCACCAGGACCCCTAGTGCATACCAAACTCAGTGAATACTCAAGTCCCTTGATAAAGAATACTATAGTAAAACAGTGTTTTTGTGTTGTTTTTTAAAGTCAAGCAAGGAATGGTGAAATTAACGACTGCACAATCTGTGGATATCGAGGACCAATTGCAGTTGCAGTACTTGCCAATATTTGTTCATTGGGTTGCTGTGAGTTTTCCAGGCTGTATGGCCATGTTCTGGAAGCATTCTCTCCTGATGTTTTGCCCACATCTATGGCAGGCATCCTCAGAGGATGAGAGGTCTGTTGGAAACTAGGCAAGTGGGGTTTATACGTATATCTGTGGAATGTCCAAGGTGGGAGAAAAAACTCTTGTCTGCTTGAGGCAAGTGTGAATGTTACAATTGGCCACCTTGATTAGCATTTAATGACCTTGCAGCTTCAAAGCTTGGCTGGTTGCTGCCTGGGGGATCCTTTGTTGGGAGGTGTTAGCTGGCCTTGATAGTTTCCTGTCTGGAGTTCCCCTGTTTTTGAATGTTGTTATTTATTTAGAGTTTTTTAATACTGGTAGCCAGATTTTGTTCATTTTCCAGTTTCCTCCTTTCTGTTGAAATTATCCACATGCTTGTGGATTTCAATGGCTTCTCTGTGTAGTCTGACATGGTAGCTGTTTGAGTGGTCCAGCATTTCTGTGTTCTCACATAATATGCTGTGTCTAGCTCGGTTCATTGTTTGAAACGTGCTCCTTTTCAGCAGGGAAATAGTGGAACAAGTCTGAGGCCTGGATAGTGATGATACAAGCCAGAGCACTGATGCACATTAGGGCGTTCTTTTACACACTCCTGTGGGAATTTGTTGTCTGGCCACCACAGTTTGACACTAACTTTGAATGAACAGTATTAGATGGGATCGTAGTGTGAGATCAGGTAGCATAGTGTGGACTCACCATATCTCTGAGCTCAGGATCTGCAGTTTCAGACAAGTTTGGATTCAAAGCAAAGGTGGTGTCAACCTTTGGCTACAAGTCACTTGCTAGTCAGTCACTTGATTCTGCCTTGTGAACAAATAAGCTGGAGCCCCATAACCATCACCTCAAATACTTGCTGCCACCTCCACTGGTGCCCTACACCGTTTTATTAATAGGGACTCCAGCATCCAATGATTATGGTGATGATCTGTGCAAAATTTTGGATCTTCACAACAAATGGCAAGACACGTGCTAAACCAAAATTCATCTAAAAGAGACTGCCTCCCCATGGACCCCACAAGGGAAGGACATAGGGAACTCACAACTTTTCCAAGACTAAGAGGATTCACACCCTTGCCATGAGTTGACAAAATTTTATCACCAAAACA